AGATAGGGTTTAATGCCCTCCTCCCCTTAGTAAGGTGGAGGGAAAATAAGCAAATGCTAAAAATAAATGACTGCTGTGTGAGGGAATTAAATGGTCTTTAGCCAAGGATGGTAGCATTTTAAAATTAATAAAGCCCAGGTACCACATCCAGGAAGGCCTTGGCAAATGCGTGTTATCCACTCATTAGCTCAGCTCCTCAGGGACCTTGGCCAAGCAGGGAAGGCAGTGCCGGGAAGCAGTCCTTCCGATGCTGATGAAATGCACTTTGGGAGAAAAGGCAGAAGGAGGGAGGGAGACTCATGTGGGGAATTTCAAACAGTTCTGCTGGAGCTTTGTGCTCTGCCTCACGGTCTCACCTTCTCTAAGGCAGGGGCTTTCAAAGCAACCAGCAAGCCCAGGTGGACTCAAATCTGAATCTCCCACCACCCATTCTTTGGGGATGTTTGGTTCCTGAGGTACCATAATGGCCACACTGTTTAGGTGATCTCCCTGCTTGGCAGTCCAGGGACAAGTTGCCCAAGAATGATGTGGGATGGGAGGCAAGTTTTCAGTCCTGTACCCTGCACTTTCTCCTTACTATAAAGAAGAATCATATGACGCTTTGTGAATTTATACAAGCCTACTCTATACCACGTGTAAAGTGAATTTATCATTTCATTATTCATCAGTAATTATACTTCATGACACCAAGAATCGCGTGAATTCACAAATCTTCTCTCTTAACAATCAAAACATACAGTATCTCTAACGTGAGATACAGCAACAAGAATTCCAGATGGTCATAAATAGAATTCATTTTGACACTACAACATGTATTTTCAGTATGCCACTAGTCACAATTAATGATGAAAAATAGAGAGGGATGACCTTTTTAATTTTTTTAATGTCAGTCTATTAAAGTATCAATTATCATAGTAAAATTCACCCTTTTAAAATGTACAATCTGATGAGATTTGGTAGTATAGCCACCACCACAATCAAGACTTAGAATATTTTTATCACCCCAATAGGAAAGACTTTGGGCCCTTCCTCCCGCTCCTAAACACTTACCTGATTTCCGTCCCTAAACTACTTCTTTTCCAGACTGTCATATAATTGGAATTAAAGTAGGTAGTTTTTTGTGTCTGGCTTTAAGTTAGCACAAGGCTTTTAAGATTTGTCCATGTAAGAGTCGTTTGTTCTTTTTATTGCTGCATAGTAGTCCACTGTATGGATGCACCATAATTTGTCCACCCATTAACCAGTTGATGGATATATGGGTGATTTCTAGTTTTTGGTGATTATGAATAAAGCTACTTTAAATATTTACATATAGGCCTTTCTGTAGATGTATGTTTTTATTTCTTGTGGACAAGTACCTGGGAGTTGGTATTACTGGGTTGTAAGGTAAGAAACTGCCTTTACCTTTATAAGAAACTGCCAAAGTGTTTTCCAAAGTGGCTATACCATCCTGCACCCCTATCAGCAAGGATGACAATTGTTCTGTAACTTTGTCAGCACTTCGTATTGTCAATTTTTCTAAATTTTAGCCATTGTAGTTAATAGGTTATGTAGTGGTATCTCATGATTTTAATTTGCATTTCCCTAAATGACTAATGCTGAGTATCTTTTCATGTGCTTTACCATCCATCTCTTTTTTTAGTGTCTGCACAAATCTTTTGCCCATTAAAAATAATGAGTTGTTTGTCCTTTTCTTACTGATTTATAAGAGTTCTTTATATCTTCTGGCTACCATTCCTTTATCAAATGTATTTTGACAGCTTCTTTTTTGAGGAATCAGAAATTATAAGGATCTAAATCATACCATTTTCTTTCTAAACCACTATCCCCTGCATATACATGGATAAAGGGAATAGGAAAGACTTAAACTTTCAATTTACAAATACCTAGTGCTACTGGACAGAGGATCAAACAATACACTTGGTACCTGCTAAAACTCATGAGACTATTTTTACTTCCACTATAAACACCCAACCAACATTAGGTTTTAAGGAAAGCTACATCTGGAGAAATGGCTCTCCTATAAACAGCTTTTGACCTCCCAGGCTCTGCACCTCCCAAAACCCTGTTCTGGTCTGCCAGGCTCCTGGAATGGTCAACAGTCGTCACACTCCATTGCTGGCCATTGTCCACTGGGAAAGGTAGGAGGCTCCCAATCCATCCCTCAGTGGAAGAGCAAACAGTGGAGCCTGTGGCTGCTTGGACATCAAAGTTGAGCAAACAGGCCTGGGCAGGCCCTGCCTCTCCGCCTATACATCCTGCAAATGCCGTATGAAGGAGCTTCCCTGAGGGGGGTGATGACTTTCAGCTTGCCATAGCGCACATCAAAGTTTGCACCACACACGAACTGGGTGCATGGGTTCGAATCAAGTCACCCAAAAGCGGATACTCAGCCATTGTATCCAGTTTTAATCCTGTGTTTTCCCAAGTAATTAAGCCTTCTTGCTTATGAACTTGTGACTAAGTAAAGCATCACTGAGAGGTTGTAACATCAAAGTGCCTTCCACCGTCTGTCCATGTTTGATAAAATTGGATTTCTTTCCCTTCTTAAAGAAAAACTAATTGAATTTAACTCAAGGCTGGGTATATTTGCACGAGCCGGTAAAGGCTATGCTAATTCACAGTGACCATCCTGGGACCCTGTGGCTTAGCCTTTAGCTGGACTGGGTCAGAGTACAACACAGAATGAGGCACCCAGACTCAGGTTAAATAAATGACTGTGGCATGGAGAGCGCACTGTGGATGGAGAGGGCTGGCAAAAGGATTTTCCTAGTTAGAATGTTGGTTAATCTTTGGCAGAACGGCTACTGAAGACAATGGCCATCACATTATTCAAGTCCTTGATGTCAGTAGTCCCAGTAAGCTTAAGGCAAAGGTTGTAATGCTTATTATCTGAATCTCCTCATAGCCTGGCACATCAGCACCTGACACAGTATAGTTTGAAAAATATTACTGGATGCATGAAATGATAATATGAAGGAATGTCAGAACAAAATTTCCCTCTCCTGAAGAACCAAACTCTCTGTCCCTTGTTTGCCATGCTCATTGGAGAACTCCAATCTAAATTAATACTTGATTTCACTAATTATTTGATTTACAGTGAGTGTGGCATGGTCCCATTTTTGTAAAATTACACATACACACAATGATCAGTCTCTAGATAGAGGGAATTCAGTTCACTGCTACTTTCTTCTTCTATATTATTTTTACAAAAACAATAAACCTATTTTCAGAAAAGAAAATCTCTGGTTCAATCCTGATACAATTATCTTTCCTTTTACCAATATGATTTCTGATCTTGATCCAGTTTAACTCTCCTGTGTACATTTATATTTGTATTTTAATTTACATCACCTCAAACCCTTTTTGGAAATAAAAGGAAGAAATAAATTATAAATTAAGTTCTCATATAGACTTTTAAAATTTTTGTTGTATAGCACTGTATTCTCTATTCAAACTTAAATAAAATAGTACTATTCAAAATTAAATAAGATAACAAATACATACATAAATAAAAGTTCACATGAAGTTAGTCTCCTTAAGAATAGAGACTATTCTGTTTTATGTCCCTAAGGATTTAACATATTAAGCAAGTGCTCACTAAAGGCAATAAAGCAGTTAAGGATGAAATGATTAGGCTACTTTCAGGATCTCTCCCTTGAACTTGGACTGCCAATATTCTAAAGACGACGATTCTCTGCTTTTAGCCTTGAATCAAGGGCTACCCCTCTACCTTCCCTTCATCCAAACTCAATTAAAAGGTGGTGGCATTTCAGGCCTGGCCAATATGATTCCAGAGGGTTTGGTGACTGGTTAGATTAGCATCAGCACACCTCCAATAAAGAAAAACTTTATTGGTAGGTTGTGCTGGTATGGAAGTGATAATTCTTTAGGACTATTCCCAGGACGCCTTACCAACGGGCCTACTCACTCTTACTAATGTACTCTGGAGATACCCTTTTACCAGATTCTATTTTTCCTTTTTTCCACAGCACTTCTTACCTTCTAATATATTATGTGGGTTACTTCTGCACTATATTTGTTTATTGTCTGTCCCTGCCTCTCTCTATTCAGGGACCACCATCTGTATAGAAATAAGCTCTATGAAGGTGGGGATCTTTGTCAAAAACAGTGCCTGGCAAACAGTAGGTGCCCCCCAAAATTTGTGATATGAATAAATAAGCCAACCTGAGATATGCTATTTTCACTAAAAATATGTCTTCTCTGGGTACTGGAAGAAAAGGAGGGCACAAAATGAACACTTAATACACCAATAATTAGTTCTAGGAACCAAAGCAAATAAATACAAGCCAACACTCTCACTTTGCTCAATGAACATCACTGATGTGCTAATGGCCCTGGATAAAGACAGGCCATCAGTTAAACTAACAACTCATTAGATTCAGAAAGAAGTGTCCCCAAAGCACATCACTACTAGCTATCTGTTCACTGATTGACAGTACTCTTAAGTATAGTGTTATTTGCAATTCTGTCCCAATATTGAAAATATACTACACATAAGGGCATTCTCCTCTCTAACCCCTTTTCTTCACCACTGTCTGTCTCTTACAGATGGAGACACCTGCAACCTGGGAAAGACTGGTGGGTAGGGTGGAAGTGGTGGTAGGTGGAGTATCAGTGGTAGAATAAACATGTGCATTTTTGCATAGAGAGGTCTATGTGAGCCGAGAATAGCAACTCACCAGTTGTAACCTGTAGTACATATATTATTATCTCATTTGATTCTCATGAGCACATAGCGAGAATCTACTCTGCTGCCAGATTCAGTCCTCTCACACCCTCTGCTTCGATAATATCCTGTTCACACTGCTCTGACACCACTGGTTACACTATACTCTCTCTACCTGCCTTTCCCCCCCCCACATTAGGCCATGAGCTCCCAAGGTGTCTGGTTACCCAATGATTAGCACAGAGTTTGGCTCAGAGTAAATATTTACCAAATGTTTGTAGAAATGATTAATTTCAGGTGGAGAAACGATGTCCATAGAATTCTGAAATTCAACTAAGGGTCAGAACCAGGACTAAACTCCAGGTCTCAATTGCAAAGTCCATTTACATCAGTTTTTCTTTTAAAAAACTAAGTGCTAGGAGCTAGAGGCAAATAAGGAAGTGGAGTGCTGATCTTGAGCCTAAGAATTTCCCCGTGCTGAGAACAAGTTCACAACAGAAGAGCAGAGAAGAGAGACCTATCTCAAGTACAGGTAAGTCTCTCAGGCAGTCTGAGGCACTGCCACCCCTATATTATAAAATTCCTGTTTTGTTGGTTTCCATCACATTTATGACCTTTCCAAAGGTGGTTAAGACCGGCACATAAAAGCCTTAAAGATCTGCTGGAAGGGAAAATTAAAATTGGTACCTCCAACTATCAGTTACAGTGGCTACTACTAAAGTAGATCACTCTCTTTAAAAGCATTTATTTTTGCTCTTATTTAATCAATTCTTTTGCACATTCACAGCTAGATAGTGGGATGGAAAGGCAGCACTCAACACGAGACTGGGATCTAGCAGAGGGAGGCAGCAGTGAGGTATATATAGTAAAACACACAGACTTTGTAGGCTGCCAGACCAGGTCCTAAATCCTGTCTGTGTAACCTTAAACAAATCACTTTATCTCTTTGGGCTTCAGTTTTCTTACCTCCAAAATGAGAATAACATATATGTTGTGGGGGTGATTGTGAGAATTAGCGATAACTCTCTACACAAAGTAGACTATTTAAATCTTTACACAACAGCTACATTCTAAAGGAATGGGCAAGCAGGTAGGAAAATAGCACGCCTCCAATGGGAGGGCAGGAATGCCCCCACCTTCCCCAATTTCCATTAGAACCTCCAAAGAAACAGCCCAGAGAAGCCCTCGATGGGGACAGATTGTCGACTTCTCAACACAGATAAATGGTGGATAACTCACACAAGTACACTTAACTTAATTGCTTGCGACAGGCTTTCTTTCTTTTTTTAAAATTACATTTATTGACAGGCTTTCAAACATTTCGTTATTTCAGTAATGCAAATGACTTATCTAAGGTCACAAAGCCAGTGAGTTGGAATTCACAGCTATATCTTCTCTCTCAACATCTCCTACATTTTCCATTGCACTGGGTACAGATCAATTCCTTAAGCTGAGTTCACCTTCCTGCCTCTGGAGAAGACAGCAGGGGGACAGGCAAGGGTGAGAGAGGATTCAGTAATGTGATCTGCAGAGATCTGGCTAAGGAAGCCCTGTGTAAAAGGAGATCTCCTACCTGTCGTTTCGGCTGATGGCTGCCACCATAAGTGCTGTCCAGCCAAGTTTGTGCCTTGTGTTGACATCTGCACCTTCCGACAACAGCCTAGAAAGAGAGAAATATTTTCAGTGTATGGCTTCCCATGGACCTAAGAGTGAAGAAATGAGATAGCCAACAAACAGGAATAGAGGCTTTTGAGAATTCAATATCCATCCCAGCACCTCTAGCCAGTCTCCCCAACTCCAGGTTTCCCCTACCCGCCTCTCTCTCTCTTCCCTTAAATGAGTCTGCCCCTTGCTGTTATCCTCCCAGCCTTCTGAAAAAAATCTGCCTTCCCTACCTTCGTACCCTGACACTCCTCCCTCGGTCCAGAATGCTCTCTCCCTGCCTCTATGCCTGTTCTAATCCCACTTTCATGCCATGGGATACGATCCTGGCTGAGGACTCTCCCTGAGAAGGCTCCTTGACTCATTCAGTCCACAGATCTCTCTTCCTTCCTTAGAATTTCCCCATGCTTAGCACCAAATGCCCAGGGACACTTCTTATCTAAGTAGTTCCCAGGTTACAAAAGGATCACTCTCTTCAAGTTTCTCTGTATGGTGGTTGTTTGAAACTTGGAAATTTTTTTAACCCAAGGAAAGATGGAAACAATGATAGAAATGCTAAATTAGGTTTCTAGGAGGTCCACAGGAACTTATTTGACTCTATATGTCAGTGCCTAACATGTAGTAAGGGCTCAATAGTTGTTGGATAAATTAACTAACGCAGGGTTATAAGTATACCACTAAAAGCCTGAATCCTGGGTCCTGGGAACAGAGGGGCCCTACAATGTGGAAGTGGACAGAGAGAAGGGGAATAAATAGAATCAATCCTCAGCACCTACTACAAGTAGGAACTGCCTTCAGAACTTTACATACATGCTCTCATTTACTCTTTGCACAAGCTTAAGGAGATGATACTAAGCTCTTTTTATGGATGAGGTAATAGTGAGGTGAAATGACTCACTGAAGGTCACAAAGCAAGTAAAAGGGCAGTACAATGACTGGAATCCAGGTCAACAACGGCTCTACAGCCTGAATCTTTCTCACCTGACCACCCTTCCTCTATTCTAAACCTGATTCCATGTCACTTGTTAGACAAAAAACTAAATTGACTCCAGCAAATCCACAATATGTGCTGGATTCGATGCTAGATTCTGGGATGAGGAAAAGGCATAGGGTCTACCCTAGGGAACTATACAATTTGGTTGTGGGGAAGGACTCAAGACAGTAGGAAAACAAAGCCTGTAGTGTGTGGAACCCACCAGTAGTGCTATAGGAGGCCAGGAAGGAGGGGACCAAAAGTCAAGAGTGATTCACCAACAAGGCAGGATCTGCTTAGGAGGAAGGGGGAGGGTGTTTGGGGGAACTGGGAGGCTGACTCCTCTTCAGTGGGTTCTAGATGAAAGGGCACTGACAGAATCCAGAAGCTTGGAGTTGAGTCCTGGTACCATTCTTGTGTAGTAAATGATCCTCTGGATCAAGCCAAATAAAAACTCGGTGCTGTTTAGTAAGCAGGTGACTAAGGCTTGGGAGGATAAAATGACACAAAGCCTGAGTAGGGAAGACAGACCAACAAGCACATACGTATACATCAGATGAGTGCTATGAATGGGGACTGCAGGTTGCAGGTGCACAACCAGGGAACCTAACCCAGTCTAGTGACCCAGAGGTCTCTCTTTGGAGGTGATAATAGAGCGCTAGCCAGACAAAAGGAGATGAGGGAGAGGTGGGAGTGCTCCAGGTAGAGGTAAAGCCTCTAACCCAGAGAAGACAGCATGGGGTATATGAAGATCTGAAAGAGGTTTGGCATTACTGGGGCACGCAATGTAAGGAGGGAGTGTCAGGAGAGGAGGCTGGGAAACCCTCATCTCTTATGTCTAGTTTGGAGGATTTCTTCTGGGCCTCTTACCATATATACTGTTAAACTTATTTTATGCAGGAACAATTTTCTATGGCCAAGAATGCTAAAGAGGCAAAAATCTTGGGGATAAATTTTCTATGAGACAAAAAACAACAACAACAACTCTTGTACAAAGCTTCCTTTCTAACTTACACACCTTCCCTAGTATGCAGGCTACGTGGTGCTGTGGAGAGCCCAGGGTTCTGAGAAGTAAAAGACTGGAGTCCTGGATCCTAACTGTGATTTTGATCAATGGTCTCACTTCTCTGCTCCTCAATCCAGAAGACTAGAATATTAGGACCAAATCAGAGATCTGTGAAGGTAAAGACTTGAACTGTGCCTTGAAGAACGGAACAGTTTAGAGACAAGGGATGAAGTGCAAGGCAGTCAAGACACAAGGAATGGGATATTATTCAGAAGCAGGGAAGCAATGTGAAGGTATGTTCAGAGACAATCAGTTAGACCCATCTGGGTGACAGTTCACAGTAGAGAAACAGCTGCTGAGGTATTCAGGGCCTACAACAGGGCCTCAAACCCAAGCTAGGAGGCAAGGCAGTAGGCATAAACCTTTTTTGAGCTATGCACTTCTTTTAGAATATGATCAAAGCTGATGACTCCAGAAAAATGTACAGGAGCATACAACCCCCCCCCCAACACACACACACACACACACACACACACAATTTTTTTACATACAATGTCCAGGGGTTCACAGGTCCTCATGAAATAGTGGACTCTAGGTTAAAAATCTAATCTAAAGAGTTGATAAATGCCTGACATGTGTGCTACTGTCCTGCATTCCTGCATCTAAGTCAGAAATCACAAATCTCTCCAAGCAGTTCTTTCCTGTGGGGCCTCTGAAAGACCCTCAGAATCCTCCTTAACATTGGTTCCAATCAACTACCATCGATCAACTGAAGCTGGCAACAGAGAGGAAACCTATTTGCTATTCCTTAGACTCTCACCATAGGCAGTATGGTTGTCATTGAAGGTTTTGGGGCAAAAGAAATTATAAAATTACCCTAATAGCTTAAGCAGGCTGAATCTGAAAGGGAAGAGAGTAGAAAACGGGGACAAGTAGACCAGTTTGGAGACTGCTATAATACAGACCTGAAGAGATGAGCTAGGGCAGAGACATGAGAAAGCAGGACATGGCTAGGAGAAACAGCACAGCCAGAATCCCTCATGCCTTCAGTGGGCCAGTGATCCGTGTTCCCCTGCCTGGCTGGGCTCAGAGAATTCTGAAAGCAGCACTGCTCTGGAGACAGAGCTAAAAAAAGAAGATTGAGATGCCTCCTCCTCCTGCCCCTTGAGGGCTGAGTGTAGTGTAACAAAAAGAAAAAGGATGAATAAAGGGCTTTGAATAAAGCCCTTTGAATAAAGACCGGAATTCAAATTCTGGTCCAGCTGAATAACCCTGAGCAAATCAATTCTGAGTCTCAGTTTTCTAACCTATCAATTAGGGATGATAAACTCTAATTTACAGCGATTGCAGCGTAATGCCTGGCATATAGCTTGACAGGTAATTTCTACCTCCCACCCTATTCTACTTCTAGTCCTCTGAGGGAACAAGGTGTTCTGGTCTCAAGCCAGTAATGGCAAGTTGGCCAATACTCAGGGGTTCTGAGACAGGGTCACATAGGACCACCTAGATAATTCAACCAGGCTGGCTCTAGGCACTCCTGTGTTAATTTATTCAACAAGCATGTGCACTGACATGCTCTGTGTCCAAGCATATGCTAGCTACTGACAAGGAGACAAGACAGAGGTTCTTGCTATTTAGGACCTAAGCCAACCAGGCTTTTATTTTATTTTTTTAAAAAATATATTTTATTGATTTTTTACAGAGAGGAAGGGAGAGGGATAGAGAGTTAGGAACATCGACGAGAGAGAAACATCGATCAGCTGCCTCCTGCACACTCCCTACTGGGGATGTGCCCGCAACCAAGGTACATGCCCTTGACCAGAATTGAACCTGGGACCCTTGAGTCCCCAGGCCGATGCTCTATCCACTGAGCCAAACCGGTCAGGGCCCAACCAGGCTTTTAAATCTATACTAATAAAAGCCTAGGTGGCCCTTGCACACGACATCGTCACAAGGTGGCCGCCACAAGATGGCCACGCGCACAGCAGAGGTGGGGCCCAGCGCCGCTCTATGCGGTGAGGCCTGGGGGTCCTGCAGCTCTCTGCGGTGAGGAGGAGGCCGGTCCTGGCGTCTCCGCCGCCTCACGCAAAGGAGGCGGGTCGTGGTAGGAGAGGGCAGTTGTGGGCAATCAGGCCGGCAGGGGAGTGGTTAGGGGGCGATCAGGCTGGCAGGCAGAAGTGGTTAGGGGCAATCAGGCAGGCAGGCAGGCAGGCAGGCAGGCAGGCAGGCGAGCGGTTAGGAGCTACCTTAGTTATAGGCTAGATCCCTGGCCCCAGTCGGGGCCCATATGGGAGGCAATCAATCAATGTGTCTCTCTCACACAGATGTTTCTCTCTTTCTCTCACCCTTCCTTCCACTCTCTATAAAAATCAACGGAGCCCTAACCGGTTTGGCTCAGTGGATAGAGCGTTGGTCTACGGACTCAAGGGTCCCAAGTTCGATTCTGGTCGGGGGCATGTACCTTGGTTGCGGGCACATCCCCAGTAGGGAGTGTGCAGGAGGCAGCTGATCGATGTTTCTCTCTCATCGATGTTTCTAACTCTCTCCCCCTCTCCCTTCCTCTCTGTAAAAAATCAATAAATATATTAAAAAAAAAAAAAAGAATAGTCCTAGCCGGTTTGGCTCAGTGGATAAAGTGTCGGCCTGCAGACCAAAGGGTCCCAGGTTTGATTCTGGTCAAGGGCATGTACCATGCTTGCAGGCTCCTCCCCAGCCCAGGCTCTGGTCGGGGCTTGTGCAGGAGGCAACCAATTGATGTGTTTCTCTCACATCAATATTTCTGTCTTACCCTTTCTCTTCCACTCTCCCTAAAAAAATCAATGGAAAAATACCCTTGGGTGAGGATTAACAAAATAAGTAAATAAATAAATAAATAAAGTCTGAAAATTTCACACACACACACACACACACACACACAAGACTACATATGTGTGTGTGTGTGTATATATATGTGTGTGTGTCTGTGTGTGTGTGTGTATATTTATTACTTTTTTCACAAATTGCACTTTAAGATATGCTCATACTGCTAAGTATAGAATTCCATTTTTTAAGCTGCTGAGTAATTTTCCATGCCACATCCTATCAGATTTTCCTTCTCTGCTCTCCCATCTCCACATGAGTAATGCTCAAAGAACATCCTCTTGCATGTGCCCTTTGGACATGTGTATTTCCCTGGAGCATGCACTCAGAGTGAGATGCCTGAGTTATAGCGTTTACATTACTTGGCTTGACTAATTGTGCCAACATCCTTTACAGGATAGCTGCTCCATCTACCCTTCCATCAGCAGGACAGGGGTGTCCCTGTGTACCACTCTCCCAGCCAACTCTTGTAAGTAGCAAGCTTCCTAGTCACTGCAAGTCCAACTGGTGTAAAGGATCTCATATTATTGTTTTAATTTACATGCCTCTGATTACCAACAATTCTGAGCTACTTGTTATATGCGTAATAGCATTTTTGGGTCTCCTTTTCTGTACATTGCAGGGTTCTTTTAAGAGGAGGAATTGCTGGGAGAGAGGGCTCCTCCAAACTTGCTAATTCTTTCAATTAATAGAGCTGAAAGAGTAAAGGGCTGAGTCAGGAGACCTGGGTTCTAGTTCTAGTTCTGCCACCTTCTACTCTTACAACCTAGGGGAGTCATATCATCTCTCTAAGCTTCAAATTCTTCATGGGTCCACTAGGGTTTTAGGAGGTGACAGTTCAATCTGAGGGAAAGGGCTCCACAAACCTGAGGGATCATTCAAAGGCGACAAATCTTAGTGTTCTTCAGTGAGACTCAGCTTTTGAGCCCTACCCAGCTTCCTTATTGAGCATCATTTTTTGCAGCCTCTTGGGGCTGAGGTATAATAGAAAAAGCAATGACCCTGAAGTCTAAAAGCTGGAGTTCAGATTCTGGCTCTGTCACTTACTAGCTGTGAAATGGGGGATATTAATCCCCATTGTGCAAGGTGGTTGTAAGGATTAAAAGAGACAGGAATGATGGCACCTGGTAGATCAAGGAAGGATAAGAACAAACATAAACACCACTAAAAATCAGCCCAAGTACAAACAACTTTTCCAGTTTAGGAGCTGGGTGGGCCCCTCGGCCCCCTCCCTACTTCCCCTCCGTGTGTACAGTAGCCCCAAAAGTTTGGATTTCCCAAAACCAGGTCTCCTCCATTTCATTTTGTTGCTTTGCAAGTGAATGCCCAGCAGGCAGTTATTTCAAAGTCCTGGGCCAGCTGGGCGGGTGGCTGCCTGCTGAGAGTGGCTGAAAGGGCCTCTGAGGCCTAAGAAAGTCACCCTTGGTCTCCCCTATGATTTTCACCAATGGACAAAATGCGGCAAGTGAATTAATCTCTTTTAAAAAGAGCAATGCTTGTGACAGAGCACGGTGTCTCCGAAAAGGTTAGGATTCCATCATCCCAGAGATGATGAGTGGAATGCTTAATGCAGGTTGCCACTCAGGGTAGAGCAGCTTGTGTCCAGGGGCTGGGAGTGGGGGTGGGCACTGCAGGCCTTTCTGCACTGTGGAAGGCCCTTCCCTAATGAACTAGGTCTCCTGCTTGGCAGGGCAGGGGTGGGTGACACTAACTAGGGGTGACCCAGGACAGTAGATAAAGAGACCACACTAGTAGTCCAGAGTTGAATCCCAACTCTTGTACAACTTGCAAGTGGTAGAGCAGGGCAGGAAAATAAGCAGGAGAGACCCCAGTTCAAATGCAGACTCTGGCACTTGCTGGTGGGTAGCTGTGGATGAATGACTGACTTAGCCTCTCTAACCCTCATTTAGTCCCCTCATCTGAGTAACAGCTCCTGGCACTCTGAGCTTGTTTCCACATCTGCTGAAAAACATAGAAGACTGCCAACGCTGCTCCATATTCACACAGAGGTACCATGAAGAGACAATGAGACAAAATCTGTAAAAATACTTGATATGCAATAAAGCAGTGTACAAATACAAGAGCCTATGCTATTATCATTTTCAAATTAGTGTCTATCCATTTTAAGGACATAGATATATGAAAGGTATGCATAGAACTTAGAACATAAGTCCTCATATTTTTCTGTGGATTGATAATGGTCTCAAATCCCCTGGTAAGGGCCGCAGTAGAATAAGGATTTGTTAGCCCAAGAGCTGAGGACTTCCACAGAAGAGTAACAAATCAAAGGGAAAACAAATCTGCTCCGATCTCTGAGATCCAAGAGAGTTCTGAAGGCTACAGACCAAACAGGCAACAGTGATTACCTCTGATTGGGGAGGGAGAGGGGGAATGAGGGAGCCACACTTACTTCTTGCTATGAAGATTTCTGTATTGTTAAGTTTTATTTTTTGTAACAATGAGCATACTATTACTTTAAAAAAACACACACAAAACTTTCTTAGGAAAAAAATAAAATTTATTCTTTCTTCCTCTAAGAAGTCTTCCCTAAGTCAGCCTTGATGCTGCCACAGTGTCTCTGCTAACCTGTATAACAGTTCTCACAGTTTCCTTGTCTCCCTCCCGCAGTAGCATCATGGTCCACCAATATGTCTGTCTTGTGTTGGAAGTTACTTGTTTTATACTTGCGTGTCTGACTCTTCCAAAGAACTTAGGTGCCTGTGTATACGTAGAAGGTGCGGGTGCGGCTTCTCACTCTCAGGGCAGAGGAAACTGAGACATAAACCTGGGCTAGAAGCCCAGTCATGACCCTCTCAGTAACTAGCTGCATGATTCTAGATAACTCTCTCTGAACCTTACTGTTCTCTGCAGTAAAATAAGGGAACTGAATTAAATGGTCCCTCAAGTCCCTACCGGTTCTAAAATCTTAGGATTCTAAATAGGTGTAGCATAAAAATTGAGAAGTGGATTCCTAGCAGACATGGGCATCAGCAAGACTTCCAAAGAAAAGACAGCTCCTCAGGCTTGCTGTATGGAGGAGGGAGGGGAAGTGTCCCACAAAGGATATGGGGCAGTTTTGAGTTATTCTGGCTAACCAGCTTGCTTACTCTGGAGAGGGAGTTACCACTTGATTTTTCTTCCTCCTCCTTTACAACCAATCAATACAAAGCGGCCACTGAACTTCAATTGTGCATTGTTCCAACTGATTTCCGGATCCTTCGCAATGGGCCCTCAGCTGCAGCTGGGGAGGGGGCTGACGGGTTAGGAGCCTTGTCCCACCTGCATCAGAGGCCTGGAAGCAGTGAGCCATGCAGACTCAATCATGATCACTATCTGGGCAACAGGACCCTGGCTGGAGCCTCGCAGAAGGTCCTGTTTACAGTAATAACAGCACCAGGCCAGGCTGTCTGAGCAGAGGCAAGGCGCCTGGGGCTAGAATCCACACAGAGCCTCCATCTGTGCCTCATCTACCCAGTCAGCTGAGCTGGGAGGGGCGGGCAAAGTAGGAAAGGCGGCTTCAGACCCCAGCCTGGGCCAGCCACTTTAGGCAGGGTCCTGGGGCTCTAACTCCACAGACACAAGGCCTCTCAGGCACCTTTTGCTTTTACTACTTGAACTGAGCATCTCTCCTTCAAGGTTCAGCTCAAGACCCTTCCTCTAAGAACAGTGGTTCTCAACCTTCCTAATGCCGCGACCCTTTAATACAGTTCCTCATGTTGTGGTGACCCCCAACCATAAAATTATTTTCGTTGCTACGTAATTTTGCTACTGTTATGAATCGTAATGTAAATATCTGATATGCAGGATGTATTTTCATTGTTACAAATTGAACATAATTAAAGCATAGTGATTAATCACAAAAACAATATGTAATTATATACGTGTTTTCCGATGGTCTTAGGCAACCCCTGTGAAAGGGTCGTTCAACCCCCAAAGGGGTCGCGACTCACAGGTTGAGAACCGCTGCTCTAAGAAGCTCTCTAGAAGTTCTCACTCCAGTGAGTTGGCCCGTCCCAGTACTCTCATGCGTGGGCTACTTGAAAGGGAAGTTGGTGGGCAGTGAGGGGGGAAGGGACTGGCAGCACCTATGAGTGCAGGCACAGGGTATAATGTGCACTTTAAACTTACTGGATTTGAAGAATGACCTGCAGCCATCAATCCAATCCAATCCAACTCTTCCTTTTATACATACAGATATGGATGAGGTTCAGAAAACATCAGCCTTGGAATAGACTGCTCCGGATAGGAGCCTGCACCTGTCTCTTCCAGGCTGGGTGACTGTGGGCAGGTCATATTAACCTCTCTGAACCTCATCAGTCTGCCAGACTTACCTAACAAGGGTGTTGAGATGACCAAGGGAGATAATGTATGTGAAAGCACTTACATTTTCCAAATGTTAGTTGTCACTGTTACTATTGTTCTATCTGTTCAAAGGTGCCAAGGAGGAGCTACAGAACATCAATGAATACTGCTGAATTAAATGGAATAAAGTCCAGTGTTGGTGTAACCATTCTTTGTCCCATCTCTCTTATAGATTCTAGCAGGAACTTGGCACACACTAAAGTGTATAGATTATTTTTTTAGCTTCTTATTTTGAAATGATTTCAAACTTACAGAACAATTACAAAAATAGCACCGAAAAACTCCTCATATGCCCTTTACTCAGATTCTCAGTTCATTTGGCCTCATGTGCTTACCACTCCTTCCTATTTTTTCCTGGACCATGTGAGGGTTAGTTTCAGACATTATCCCCCATTACTTCTGAATACTTCAGCACATATTTCCTAGTTCAAGGACATTCTCTTTCACAATCACTAACCAATAATGATCAAATTCAGAACAGTTAACATTGATAAAATGTTTATCTAATATACAGCCCATATTCAATTTTTCCAATAATCCTAATAAGATCCTTCATAGCAATCTCCCCACCCCATGATCCAGCTATAAGCCAGGATCAATACTGGAATAAAACATTGCATGTGTCTTCAGTTTTTTTTCATCTAGAATAATTCCTCAGGCTTTCTTTGATTTTCATAATAATGATATTTTTGTAGAGTAAGGCTAGTTTGTAGAATGTCCTTCAATTGGGATAACAATTTTTTGAAGAACTACTTCCTGTTATTCACCCATTCATTCCACAAACGTTTCATGAGACTGGTTATTATAGGACTCTGATCGGGATAATGAGGGCACTTCGATGAATTCTGTCCTTGACTTCAAGGTGTTCACTGGACAACTACACATCTGGCAAACAGCTAAAATACAAACAAGGACCCTGGAGGAAAGTACCATGAGTGTAGGTCAGAGCAACAGAGACGACTTCCTGGAGTCAAAGGCATGAGCTGTGCCAGAAAGGGTGGCTAGAAGCAGATTCCCCTAATGATCTCCTGGGATCTTCTAGGAAACATCTCTGCTTGCCCAAGGGGTGTGTGCCATGGCTGAGATTCAATAAAACACGAAAACCAACAATATAAGGCCAGAAAGTGGAGGGGGTAGCCCAGAGCACCCTCATCTGGGTACCTCTGCCCAGGGCTACATGCCACATCCCGGTCAGCAGCTGCCTTGGTGACAAGAAGCAAAGGCCTCCATAGGCAGCTGAGTGTGGGAAAGGGCCATGGGCGCCACCTACTGGCTCCACAGCAGGGCTCTCTAGGCTGCTGTACAGGGCAGCTGGGCAGCTACCAGGAAGCTTGTCACACTATGGCATTGAGACACAGAGGGGGTTCAAACTTCTCAAATAGGGTTGGCATGTGAGCCACCACTGCCGAGCTCCAGAATTTCATGAGACTTTCAGTAAAGAATAGATTGTCAAAAGTCAACCACAATACCTGGCCCCCTACACAGTGGGGGCAAAGATTTGGCCTTCATTAATTCAGGTTCATTCCAGTAACAAAACTTAAGTAGCCTCTTCTTGAAGCCAGCCTCTGTGCTGGACACTGAGATTAACTGGATACGGTCCTAGCCTACAAAGAGCTCCCAGCCTGAATTCGGGATAGGAAAACAGGACAAGTAAGTACACAAATTTAAGTTATTAAGTATCACAGTTGCTCTGAGAGCTGTTTGCACTGGGTCAGTGAGCACACAGCATGCTTGGCTCTTCATGTCTTGCAAAACTTTTGAATGGTGGAATTCAAAAAAAGCTCACATTTCTTGAGTAGCCTACTATGCATCAGGCACTTAACATGTGTGAGCACATCTGATCCTGTGATTAGAGAAGGAGCCTGAGTCTTACACAGAGTAATTGATTTGCTTAAGATTACATAGCCTGTAAGTGGCAGCCTAGAACCGGAGCCCATGCTTCCTCTACTGAACCATACTACCTTCCAAGGCACATATCCCATCTTCTTCCCTCTTTCCTATATAAGCCTGGGGCCAGTGTGTGACATGTATCTGATGGGACTAACCAACTAACAGAAAATGATAAAGAAGGAAAAGCCTTAAGTGAAAAGAAAGTTATCTGAGGAACGGAGATATTCTTTGATTATATCTGCTTTCTAGAACCTTCCCCTTGAAGAGACCTTCACCTAGACTCAAGATGAGAAAGGCCCAATCCATCCCTCCTCCTCCTCTCCCTCCGTTTCCCCCTCCCTCTCTTCCTCACATGGCAATACAATGTTTTAAAGTGGTCTTGCCTTTAGGTTAAACAAATCCAACCAAGAGGTTACAGAAGTATAGGAAGCCCTGGTTCTCAGTAGTCTGGGCTGACTGCAAACTTAACAAAACCCAGGAATACAATGCAGCTGCCAAGAAAGCTAATGCAAGCTCAGACCATATTAATAGCACCATAAAATCTCTAATAAAGGGAACACTGTCCTGCTCCTCACAGTGTGGTCATGCCACACTGCAATTCAGAAGAGGTACCAAAAACTGTGGCCGTTTCATTAGAAAATGAGTAGGATGGGGAGAAGACTTGAAACCACAGTTCAGGGAACTAAGGTTTATTTGGCTTGGAGCTCTGTCTCCTAATATTGAAAGGTCTGAACAGGAAAAGGGAGCAGTTGTAGTCCTAGAGGACAGAGTGGGGACCAAAGAGGGAGTTGTAAAGGGAC